AACTCACCGAGTGGTACACAGAGTAAGTGCACATTATTCGCACAGTTCTACAGCTAACACGTTGACAGACGTGTTTATGGTGGCGTGTCGAATGACATGAGCGCCAGCTCCGAGCCTAGTGCATATGAACTTTGTATGCGGGAGATCGAGGCTGAACAGCGCGAGCGAGCAGCATTGGTAGGCGATGCAAATGCCTCGGGCAGCGAGTGAGTCGTGAACGCAACCCGAGTGAATTGATTACTGATCTGGGCGCGATGTGCAGGTAAAATCCGGGCGCGTGCCGCCCGGTGCTGTGCATCTCATGTCTACTCTCCTGCTTCGCGGTAACCGCCGGTGCTCTCCTCTCTTCTGCTGCCAACCCTCAACGATCCCGCATGCGCTTTTCTTCCATCGGTCTCCAGTCGACCCGGACCTTCAAGTTGTTCATGCTTTGCTTTGTCTGGCCCATCTGCTCCGTCTCGCCACTGCTCGAACTCGCTGCTATGCTATGCTCCGGCCTATGCTAGCTTCTCGTGATCGGATCCCCCCACGGCCTTTCTTGCTCCCTTTGCTGCCGTCCAAGCTCTGGTGCAGTACCGTACTCATGTATTAAATACTGATTGTGGCAATGCATTCATTGAGCCATGATAGTCGTGTACGTCCCCGGTGAGCCGGCGCGGATGGCTGCCCAAAGCAGACGGTACCATAGAACCAGGTGCACTGTTTCGATGGTGTACAATGGATAATTATTGCCGTCTGCAGCACCCGAAGTGAAACCTTGTAGTGCATCACAAGCACTTGCGCGAGGGGCTAATTACCATTGCATTGAACGATAGTACGGTCAGCGAGGTCTCATAGAGAGCTATTGGTGCTTGCGCGAGGGTATGCAGGCATGGTTAACGAGTTATTAAACATCGCGCAAGGCCTTATAGGGCGCAATCTGCTTTCGCGCGGGGTCCTATAGCATGCTGCGGAATTGCGCGCCCGGTCATATGGCGCGCGACGAATTTTTATTGTAGGCGACGCAAGCTACTAGAGTCCTTAGCTCCCATATAGCTTTTCGTCGCCGACTACCTAGTCTATAGCGTGCTACTTATTCTATAGCATACTATAGCCTGCTATAAACTCCGTGCCTACTTTGCTGATGTCAAGGTTTGTGATCGTATAGGGGAAGGGAGAAAGCCCGAAGGAAGGGATTCTAGACGGAATACAACCCATTAGTTTATCGCATGTTTCATGTGTCCTCTTCTGCCCATACTCGACCTATGCTTTGAGTGGAGTATAAATAATATGCTACTATTACCTGGAGGATCGTGAGACCCTAGGCTGTAGCTTGCACGGTCGTGTGCATCATCCGCGCGGCCAACGGTTTTATACGCACGTATAGTGTAGCCCATGGGGATACAAGATGAAGAGTGGGGTTCTTTAGTAAAGGCGGGGCGATGACGACGTATACAGACGCGCGTGCAGGAAATGAAGAATCTGACCCAACACAGCGGCCACACTGGCATAACCGTTCCTCTGCCTCTTTAGACGCTGCTGCAACCTCTCGCGGCTTTGCGCCTGTGCACCTCCACACTGATACTTCTGGCTGGCAGGATTAAATGAGCCCATCCCTTGACGCCTTACCTGGAGAACTTCTATACGACATCGTCTTGCATTTCGACGAGGATCATTTCCACCAGTCGCTTTGCGCGCTCAGCCGAGCCATACCCCGGTCTCCTGTACCTACACACCTCCTCTACGATAAGATTCGTCTCACTCGCAGAGAGCAGCTCTTTCAGTTGTACCGACACGTCCGGATATCCCCAAAAGATGGCGAACGCGTCCGCGAGTTCTCATTTGAAAGCTGGGCAGCCGATGCGGATATATTCGTGAACCTCTTGGCTCTCATGCCATCTCTGACCTACCTGAAGATATTCATTGGGCCAGACTTTGCTCCTGAACACCTCGAGGAGATTTTTGAGAAGCCCAGGATACATTTGCGATACCTTTCTATGCGATTCCGTCCTTAGTACGTGCCATGCCGTCGCATCCATGACGTTTGGCTAACCCTTCTGCCATGCATAGCGTCCAAAGGGCCACATATTATCAATTCTTGAAGGTCAGTCTAGATGCCGCGCTCATATAGTCCTCACGATCTCACATGTATGTAGGGAGCGTACTTCGATTCTACTTTGCTCGCACTATCGAGTTGGCCAGACCCTGCTTTACCTGTCCTATCCATCGTGCAGGACCCGCTCGACCCCACGATTGCCCCTACAAATTTTGCCCAGCCGCTAGTGTTCTTTCGACTGGACCCGATATCTACCCTTGCTGTATGCACCCTATCCAACAATCTGAAGCACCTTCGCCTTCGTGTTCCAGCACGTCAAATTGCGCGCCATTTGTACTCTGCGCTACATTCGTTTCCCGCCCTAGAGTCTCTCGATCTATCCACCGGGAACGTCAATAGCCACGACGTAGCGGGCATCCTGGGCCGACTGGGGGATCTCAAGATGCTTGTATTGGACGGATGTCCTATCGTCAGTCAGCGCCTAGACGTTCAACTCGATACTGGGGATCCGTTCCAACAATGGGAGGAGCTAGGAAAGGCCATGGCGCTCGCAGGTGTGGCGCGCGCTTCGGATCGGGAAAAGAAACTTCGTCTATGGGTGGAAACTTACTATGTCAGGGAGAACGAGGAGGATAACGCGAAGAAGGATAAGAAGTTGAAGCGCGGGCGCAGGGGTCTGGCCACCGCAACTATCTCCCTCCGTGCGCCTTCTCCCGAGCGCGCAGCGGAGGCCAATAGGAAGATTCCCCAAAATCGTGTCCCGAGGAGAGACCAGAAAACCCGCATACTCCCGCCCGTTCCCGCTCTTCTCTCCCTTGCGACCAGCTTTCCCGGCACTTTCGACGAAGAAACTTACGATGCAGTACGGAATGCATTTGAGCGCGGTTGGGCGTCCGGCATCGCACGGTTGCAAGCCATCCGATTACGGCTCATGACAAGCTGGAACAACGGCTCCGCGCGCATCATGCGTTTCGCGGACCAGGGGTCGCCGGAGTGGGAAGAAGAGAAGCAGTACGGAGAGGAGGGCCTCGTGGGCCTCATCGATGTCGGCGCGATGAGCGAGTTTATGCTCAACATTGCTGGAGATGAGGAAACAGAGAGTATTATGGGATTGCGATCCGCCTGTCCTCTACTGTGTATAGCTGGACAAAATCGCGATGCAGCGCATGTAGCAGGATGTGGTCATCGGGCAGGTTGGAATGTTTACAAGGATGAGATTTAACGACCCGTACGATATACTTAGAAGCCGTACCATACTGGCGCCCACGCCGAAGTTGTAGCCGTAATATCCACCATAGATAGACTGTACAGACATGCATTAGGTGAACTCACGTCTAGAATTTGGAAGACACAGCGTCTCCTAGTGATTCCACGCGCATAAGCTCCGGGTACATCCCATTTTCCCAGCGCAACTGTCTCCCGAGGCGTTCGGCATCAGCGCCGAACCGCTTCTTCACCACATCCAGCTCGCCACAGCTCTCTGGTGGACGTGGGTCTCCGTTAGTACCCAAGGAAAGTGGTGTTGAACCCGGACATTGGTGCAGCTTGGCGACTGAGAAATCGACGATCCGGAGCGACCCGTCTTTCATCGGGATGAAGTGGCGGGGGTCGAGGAGCTGACCGTGAAATACGCCGGCGTTATGCAGTTGTGTCACGGCGAGCATCCGTTGGCGGCTGTGCGATAAAATAGAGGTCAGCTTGCGTTATATAAACGAGTATATGCGGGGGCCCTACTCACTTAAGTTCCTGGACGCCTTCAATGGGAGGCCCGTCACACCACTCAAGGATCATACATGCGACGTGCACTCCTTCAACGATACTCGTAAAGAAACCGTAGTACTGAGGAGTCACCACCCCGCGGAGCGCACCAAGCCTATGCTCGTAACAGTCGGCCTCGCGCTTCAAACGCATGATGCGCGCCTGCCCTACTGCCCATTTCAGCGCGACAGAGACTGGGACGCTTGAGGAATCATGTCCGTCCGTATACTGCACCATGCCACCTTGATAAATGCAATGTGCCCCGCTATAGGTGAGGATGAGGGGTGCGCCCACGATGCTGATCTTGGCCGCGGGGTAAAGTCGGGAGGGCTGACAAAAGCTGTACTTCGTCGCCTTGCTGAACTCGACTAGCAGCGAGGTATCATTCTCTTTGTCGTTCTGGGGCATCATGGAGGAAATATTGGAGAGGAGGGTGCTGACCTTGTGTTAGAACAGTAGGGTATTATATGCATGTGCTCGCTTGCGATACCCGCTTGGGCTGGCTGTGATTGAGGCTGAACAGCTCAGGCACTGGCAACTTGTAAGCTTTGGCCCTTTGATCGAACGACGTTGTATACTCAAAGCATATACTAGGACCTCAATGGAAGCGAGCACAAATACTGTTGGGCCACACAGGGGTGCCGGGCATTGTAGGGTATATACGCACTGTATATGCACCAGTACTGTTAGCGCGAAACAACGGCACTCCGAATGATCGGGGTCGCTCACTGTGCTATGGATGGTTTTTATGGCTTGACGCGGTGCCACCCTCCCACGACAGTCTACTTTTGCTAGTCCAGCGGAGTCGCTTAAGAAGAAATGATCTAAGAAGAGCTCATTTGGGGTTGGTATTCTGATACTTGCTGGGCTCGTGACCACCGACACAAATCCGCATTAGTCGGTGACAGTCTATGGGGGCGGGTCAGGGGCCGGATAGGATCCGCAAGCTTGAGCACTGCGTCCTCGCCTCTATAACGACCAAAAATGTGGTTGTAGTGTACTGGACGTACTTGCTGATGCCGTTGCTGCATCATAACTGATTGTGGTCAGTGATGGGGATGAGTTGAAGTTCGAGTTCAAATAGCATACGCCGCCGCGGTGCGTATACACGTACGGGCTCGAGCTAACTCTTAGCAGTGTACTTACGGGCACGGCCAATGCCGCACCACAGAAATGATTTGACAATTTCTTGTTCCCAACACAATATGGCGAGATGGCCGAGCGGTCTAAGGCGCCAGACTAAGGAACTTCCGACATCTGGTCCGAAAGGGCGTGGGTTCGAATCCCACTCTCGTCATTTTAGTTCGATCGCTTCAGAATTTCCGTCGCTGGATTGGAATCTAGAGAAAGGGACGTCTTCAAAGCGCAGCGCACTCGAATAGACTCGAACATGGCCATCCTTCAACCTTCAAGCCACGCATTGACCTCTTATCAGACTGACGACGGCATACTTTCCTCATTAAAACTAGCCCGACGCCCGCACCGGCGGGTTACCAGCCGGCGGTAACCGTGAATCCGGGAGGCGGAGGTTCAAGGCTACTTTGGCAGTGTCCTGTCGCGAGTTTGCTTGCGATCTCGACATTGTTGCGCGGCGCGGTCGTGGGTGAGGTGGTGATTGATCAGGTGAAGATGCGGGGCCCCTCGCGCATGGCCCAGATAAACTAGACCGTCGTATCGACATCCTATACAACATATGCATATGGCCAACTCCGCGTTGGCGCCCGTCGGATGTTCTCTCCTTCCCAAACCCCCATGTGGTCCACATCTACATGTAGTAAACAATCGCGCCTATGTCTTGGCTAGGAAATACCCGTGTCTCTCGCCATTGACTCCAGGATATTGAATCAGCAGCAAAGCCGTTGACGCAAGGCCGGCCATCTGGACTTTGCGGAGAACATGTGTACATGTTCGCGAGCTTCGACTCGTCAGGAGGTCTTAGCGTTTATCCGGTGAGCGACGCTAAATATTACAGCCTTGTAGGACAACCCGATAGTTAGCCAGATGCTGAATTTTCTCAGGCGCTAGGTACATTCTTCCATTCACTGGCATAAGACATGAAGCTCAGAGAGACTCGGAGCCCTCGGCAGGGCCCAACCAAATCTCTGCATAGGTACCTTGTCGCAGTACTACGAGGGTACTCTTACATTCTGCTACTGACGCGGCCGGGGGTGGCGGTATTGTGACTCAGTCGCGCACGAACGGACGGAAAAATTGGTATGCTGGCTGATCTGCGTCGGGCATGCTTCTCGATCTCTGTCGCTAGCTTGTCTTGCGAAATTCGGTGTATTATCCCGCCGGGCGTCGCGCTGCGCCCACCACGCGTCCCTTCGGTCTTGGCATCTCCATTGCTTCTCTGTTGCATGCTACCGGCTTCCTTATCCTGCTCAGACAACATGGCTCGTTGGCGTTGGCCGAGTCGCCTCCAGTCGCCTCCGCGATTGCGTCAATATCCCAGCCCTCCTGGTCGTACTATAAAGGCTCGGCTTTGGCTACAGTACTCCTCGGTCCCCGGTCCTCCGTGTTCTAATCATCGTCCTCGTTGAGCCCTCAGCCCCTTTGACGCCATGTTCTCTTCTGCTGTTCGCGCGGCTCTCGTCGCACTTGCTGCCTCAGCCGTCGCAGTCTCTGCTGAGCGTGGGCTCTCCCTCAACGTCTCCGGCCCGGAGGCTGTTGATGGTGTCGACAACCTGAAGGTCACTACGACTCTCACCAACACTGGTGACGAGACCCTCAAACTCCTCAACGACCCCCGTACGCCCCTGCACACCCTCCCGGCTAACACCTTTTCCATCACCACCGACGCTGGCGAGAGTCCGAGCTTCATTGGTGTCAAGGTTCGTACTTAGAAGTATCCATCGCCTCGCTACATGTACTTATCTCATCCCATAGGTCAAGTACGTTCCGGGCAAGGCTGCCAAGAGCTCGAGCGAGAAGGCGTTCACCGTCCTCGCTCCGGGCCAGTCCGTCTCGGTCACTCACGATCGTAAGCCCTTTTCCTCAAATCAGCTAGCATCGGCTTACGAGGACGTCCTGCAGTCTCTGCTGCGTACAACTTCACTCTCCCTGGTGCGGGCAAGTATACCGTCGAGCCGTCGAACCTCTTCCACTTCGTCGACCCTGAGACCAACGAGCCCTCGGAAATCCGCGCTGACGTCGAGACGCACGTTGCTGCGGTTAAGGGCAAGCTGGCCGTGACGCGGCCCACCCCTACGCTCGTCAAGCGCGCCAAATTCAACGGTTGCTCTTCCTCTCGCCAGAGCAGCATCTCCGCCGCCCTCCCTGCGGTTTCCAGCTACGCTGCTAATGCTTACTCGTAAGTCGCTTCTGGATTATAGGATTGTTTCGCCCTGATGCTGACGCCTTATTACAGTTACCTCCAGAGCCACACCGCGGCTTCGCCCCGCTACACCACCTGGTTTGGTGCATACACGAGCTCGCGCCACAGCACCGTGCAGAGCCACTTCTCGAACATCCATAGCAACGACTTCACTTCGTTCACGTTCGACTGCACATGCACGGATGACGGTGTGTACGCCTTCGTCGACCCCTCCGAGTAAGTAGTGTCCTTCAATCACCCTCGGCGGTCTGCCCATCAATCTTCCTCCCCTAGCTTCGGTTATATCACCTTCTGCGGTGCCTTCTGGGATGCTCCCACTACTGGCACTGACTCGAAGGCCGGCACGATCATCCACGAGGTAAAGTCCTCCGCTTTACTCTTACAAAGAATCAGTGTACTGACTATTATGCACTCTTAGTCGAGCCACTTCACCAAGAACGGTGGCACTGACGACGTTGTCTACGGCCAGAGCGCTGCGAAGAACCTGGCAAAGAGCAACCCCAGCTCGGCCATCCGTAACGCGGACAGCCACGAGTACTTCGCCGAGAACAACCCTTCGCAGTCTTAAGTGCTCGGTTTATATATACTTGTATTTACGGGTTGATGTTGTGAGGTATTGGATGTACAACAAAAGGAGGACAATCGGATGTCTTTTTACGGACTTTAGGCGGCCGGCGTAAGGATCGCACCCAAACGACATTAGAGGCTACTAAACTCCCGCTGTGTGGTAGCCCACCCAGATTAAACCCAAGCGCGCATATCAAAGGGCAGGGGAAGTTCGAACGTTCAGAACGACCTGTGTGTCTATAAGGGCTTTGGCGATAGAACACCCCGCGCCTATGAAGATTGCACTACTACGACATGCATGCCCAAAGCAGCGAGGTATCGGCTGCGCCAGCCACGTCCCGCAACGATATGCACGATGACCTCAAGACTGCACGGATCCAAAGCCAGACTGACAGTTCTGCTTCGCAATGGGGACACTTCCGCTGCGAATGTAGCAGATCTTTGCTGTGGCGCAGTCGCCCGTGCATGCGGCGGTGCGGACGGAGCTCTTGCCCTGGAAGGTGTTGAAGGTCTGCCGCAAAATATTTTAATCAGCGTTCACACCCTATGTCGAATAGGCGCAAGCGGACGCACCGTGACCAACGATGGGTCCTTCTCCATCCCTGTTGCAAGAGAAATCGGTATAAAACAGTCAAGTCGTCAAGTCAGTTAACCTCGTTCGCACTGACAGGAGGTCGCCCTCACGGCGCAGGGCCTGGGGGAACGCACCTTCGGTAACGCGATGCCACCAGGTGGCATTGAGCGGGTCATTGGGCCCCCAACCCTCGACGACTCCGCCGTAGGCAGCGCGGGTGCTATATTCATATTCAAAGGTGGGTCCGAAGGCGTGCTGTCCGTCAAGCTGCGAGAACGCATTGACGTCACTCTTCCACCTGGAGAGCCCCGCATCAGCACTCGGCATTGGGGCCACGCCCCGAATTCGACCGACGACTTACGTGTGGGCGTCGAGTATGTCGAACGTCTGCGCCGACCAGGAATGATGTTATAACGGGGTGCGAGCCACCGTTGTGAGTGGGGATGGCCCGCATGGTGGGGTGGCGGACACGTACCTCTGAGTCTACCTCATAGACGCGGAAGCCCGAGTTAAGGTTCGTCAAGGGCGTTACCGAGGGCCCGATCTAGGGAAGTGTCAGCCAGCACTACGACCGTCAACTGTGGCGTGCGGCGTACCCATCCCACAGCGCCTGCAGTTTCTGCATTGATGCTGGTGGCATTGTTCGCGTAGTATATCTACCCAACGTCAGGATGGGAACATGAATGCAGAGTAGATGCCCGGACCCACCATGACTTGGTCCTCATGGGTGTGGCCGAAGAATACAGCTGGTAGTAAAATTACGTGAGCGCCATTGTGGGTGGGCGACGTTGTGGCCTGTGACACATACCCTTGATGACGTGCGGAGAAAAGCGGTCCACACTTTTTAACAGGGTTCTTCTGTCAGGAGCGCGTCTACACGAGAATTAAGTATGACTCACATTTGATAAACTATATGAAGATGTCATTTTAGTGGCAGCCTAAAAGTCGGACAGCCAGGGAATCCTTACACAGATCTGTAGGGTTTTGCAGTGGATTAGAGCCATCCCAGCCGGTCAATACGTGTCCTGCTATCCAGACTACACCCACGGAGTCAGTAGAGTGTTTGGCAAGACATGCCGAGGACTGTACCTGAATCTCCGGCATCCTCAGCGGCCTGGAGTTCGTCCGTCAGAAATCGAAGCATGCCGGACAAGTCAGGATTCGTCATATTGATATAGTTGAAGTAGTTCGCGCTAGGACGGAGTGTCAAATGGGCGGCCAAGGTGTAATATTCATGCCCGAGACGTACGAATACCCTGTACGATCGGGGTCAACGCTAGAAGCGACAGGGTCTAGGGCGTGTGCTTACACAAATCAGTGTTCAGCGTGATGACGCGAAGACCATCCCTTCTTTTGACCATGTATGCCGCATAGTGTGCACGCGCGAGCTCAACAGCCGAGCGCGGAAGCCATCCCTCGTGTTCCCAGAGCGCTGCGACATGGTCGTAGTTCCTAACGTGACACAGTCGTGAGGCAGGGACGAGGAAAAGGGCATATCGATCAGACATACCAGCTGAACTGGTCGGCCAACTTCCCATTGAGTGAATGTGGAGCGTCTTGTGCCCTAATTCACGGTCAATCCTACATACTTGTGAGCCGCTCATGGTACTCACTGGTTGTAGGAATCGTGGTTCCCGAGGGCGGCGTACACAGGCCCTGTGCCGAGCATTTTCCTAAACAGATCGTACATGAGAGCCTGTAAATCTGGCTGAGTTTTCAGCTAGGTTTGGAATTAAGCAACACCGACCTCAGTGTACAAGACATAGTCCCTAATGTGGATCCGTTAGCCCGTGGCCATTACACAACCTTCCGTGCGTAC